TAACGTAGTACTATAGTATATATATATATATATATATATATATATATATATATATATATATATATCTCCACGCACACGCGCGAGGTCTTCGCTCATAAAAAATTACAACGGGGAGAGGAAACGATAAATCGAGACTGTCTCCCCGCGCCATGAGAAGCTTATTTCTCTTGTCTCTTCCCGGGCGATGATACGTAACGTCGACAGTCTTCTTGGGATTGAGAAAAGGAGGCGGGGAAACCGCGCCCCAAACACCCCTGGGAGAGAGAGCCCAGAAGAAGTGGCTTTCTGAATTACACGAGAGATCGATGTAATACGAAACGTTTATGTCTTCGGCGGTGCCCGGTCGAAGGTAGAGCGCGGTCTTCATTTATCATCGAACATCGAAATCCCGCCGCCGAAGGCAGACAGCAGCTAACCGCGGGAAAGCAATCGTACCTTCGACGGCTAGTTATCGACGGGAAACCCAAACCGATCGTTTTGCAACTTTTTACGCAACGCCGGGCAAAGCCATTAGCCGTTCTCCACGTAATCGTATCGAGTACAACAAAATGCATCGGCAAAAAGCGGATTGCATCGGGAGCGCCGCGCGGGCATCGCGAAAAATCGTCGGAAATCAACGTAACACCGGAATCGATTTTACGCCGTTCCGCTGCGACTTAATCCGGAATCCTTGTTACGGCGTGTTACGTTTCAACTGTCCGGATATCGCGGGTGACGCGTACAGCTTCCTCGTAACTTACACATCGCGCGTCGCGCATATTAATATTTTCGCAGCGTCGTGACCGAGCGGCAACTCTCATCGACACTTCGCCATTCATTCCACTCAGTCTTCCGTTAACTTTGCATAGCCGTACGTCCCAGACCGTCTGACCGTCCCAGCCGCATCCCGCTGCAATATTAAGCGGACTGAAGAACGCATTTGTCTGGTCAAAAAGTCAACGTCGTTTGTCAAAAGAAAAGTAAGAGAGTAAATCTCTTTTTAACAAGTTCCTTCGTGCGATCAAGAGCTTTCTCGGAGCTCCAAAATTCGCGAAGAATATTTGTAGGATAGTCGCAACGGGGGTGGGAGAAAAATTACATAAAAAAAAGAAGGATTAAGACTTTTCTCTCGCGGCGCGGATTAAAAGTCGATGCATCTTCGTCCGCAACTTCCCTCGCTGTGCATTTCCTCCTTCGAAAAGAGAGCACCCTGCCGAGATCTCCAGCAATCTCTGACCAGCCGTTAGCAAGAAGTGCAGAACCGCACCTGGTCTCGCGAAAACCACCGGCGGTGCCGACGTCGGAATCGAAGAAGCGGAAAGTGCGGTAAGGTCGGAAAAACCGACTGACCTCGGCGGCGTCCCGGACGCCAAAGAAAAGCGGTTTCCCCCGAGGGTCCATCCGCCTTTCTCTCTCTCTCTC